AGAGAAAAAATTCAGCATTAGAAACAGTGCATAACAATAATGACCTCTATTCAGCCACAACCATTTAATAATAAACTACAATAATTCACCGAAAACTACTACCTGTCATCCGTTTACTAGTGTCTTCTTCTTCGCATTTCACCAATGTAAGCTTCTTCTCGATCTCTGTAAGTGACTGAAACAGTCGAAATCATCAACAACAGAATATCGCTTAGACAGCAACGCTTATAAACTACCACTTTAAAACGGAAAGAAAGCATAATCATGAATTTATTTTACACAATGTAGAATACTGATTTATCGAATGAGAAAACACCACAGACGTTTCAGTTTGTAACATCTATGGATCCTCTTCGGCACAAGTTAGCCGATGTTCGGTGATCTGTATTCTCTTCGAAGGTAATACAAGGTTCCTTGTTGCAAGGTGGTGAAATAATCAATATTTAACATGCAATTCAATAAAAATTCTCAAAAGTGAAGTTAATAACTATCCTTTATAGAAACAAACGTCACTAAGTTCTCCCGCCTTACTATGTGCCGAATTTAAGAACAATCGCTGCCATTAATTAACAATTTTCAGCAAAATTTCCCAACGTTTACATGAATCAACAAAAAATATTTCAATGTCGATTATGTATAGTCAGAGCTTAGTTTGACATTAATGTTCGTTTGTGAATAAAAACTTTACCAACAGCTGAGTCAAAACAGTTGCAAAATGCAAACATTTGCGTGTTAAATCACTTCATTCGAACAAAAAAATCACTGCACAAGACGGTGTACTGACATACAACTCATGATTATAAGTGATCATGGAAGTAAAAATCGACCTGAACATGGACAGCTTTGTATTCATACTTAGCTCTGCCTTAGTCTGCGGTGCAGCATAGGTCACGCAGTTCGCCCCTGATAATACTAATCAGCCAATCGACCATTCCATCAATTTTTCATCACCAGTAAACAATACCGTTAGGTGCTTAACTTCACCATTTGTTCCACTGCATCTCTGTTAATCTGCAGA